GGCCGTTAGTCCTGGTTTGGACACCGTTTGTGGTGATTCATCGCTCTTTGACTACGATCGTTTTCGCACAAGGTTATCGTATCTGATCCATTTCTCATCTCCAGTCACATTCCGTTTAAGAAATGGATCTATCTCATTCCGTTTGGCCAAGGCTTCGCAGATGGAAATTCGTTCCATCTTTTCTGTTAATTGGTGTGGCACTTCTACATCGAGCCTCTTTTTGAATCCAGTTATGTGTAAATGGTTTAAAACAGTTTTATGGTCGATTTTTAGCTCCTGGCTGATGTTACGACTGCTAACATACCGGTCAACATCGACCGGACATAATTTGCTAGCACGAAGTTGTTTTTTGTATATATTTTGAAATATCAACGGTATTTAAATTAACGATTCCAAGGTGTTCTAATTAGGTGTCCCTTTCAAAAGTTGAAAAAAATTTTCCATGATTATTTTCTATTTTCACACTTAATCCCTAGATGTCAGTACACATAAGCGTTTTGAATAAAAATCTATTTAAAAATATCAAAACATGTTTCCCTGCATGTGTGTGCTAATTACGTGACCACCACTGTATATATTATTTGTCTGTTCCCGTATTGCAAAAATCTATTTACTAGATTTTATTATTTTCTTAGATATCATAAGGGAAATTCGTTATCGTAGTAAAAAGTAGTAGATTCTTGCAGTACGGGAACAGACCATATATAAATTTGGTGGATAATATTTCTGATATGTTAGTCTTGATTTAGATTAGGCGAGTTTACTTGCGGCAAGTCTTTGTTTGTAGGAGGGAGGGGCAAGGGGTATAGAAATGAAAAAAAATTGCTCGTACCGACAATTTTCTGGCAATTCGTTTTGTGTATTTCGTATTTGTTGACATTTTATATATATTTAAATGTGAAAAAACAACAAATAAAAAAATATTTTGGAAACCGAATTGCCTTGTATAGACGCATGGAGCAAGTTCAAAAGAGAACGATAAAAATTGCCGCAAGTAAACTCGCCTAATATAAATCAGGACTTATATAGTGAAGAAATTTTTTTTTTAAGTTTTTTTTTTAATACAGTAAGAATCAATAATACCAATACCAATCAGCTGATTGAAAAGCCGATTATCATAGACACTATTTTTTATTTGTCTAGAGTACATGTTCCGCTAATTTGATTATAAAATGATTTATTTATTATTATAAGTGTATTTCTTTCTAATTTTTGAAAATAGAACACAAATATATAAATGCAATTGTATTTAACCTATAACCCAATAATGAATAAAACATTAAGACAAAATAAGCAATTGGAGGTAAATGATATTTGTGAATTAGACTCGACGTTTTAATGAATTCATTAATATATTAAAGAAATGCATTTTGTAATTCAGATGGAAAGCGAAAGTAAATGAGAGCGTACAACAGCAATATTAAATCAGCTAGTTAACCCTAGACGACCCAATGCAACTCAGGCAACAAAAGGTTTTGCAATTTATATCTAATACGAAGCTAGAAAATAAATATTTTTTGATTGGATACCAAAGATCATTCGCTTTTCTTGGTATTGGACTATTATTTTTCAGAGCGTATGTACTTAATCTACAAAATACAATATTTTTTTAGGATAGTTGCCATGGATAGTTGCATTAAATCTGCGCACAGAAAATTTTTATATGTATAGTAGTTTTCGCTTATAGTCCACAATTATAGTTGCACTATAAGCGAATTAGGACTATATCCGAATTTAGTTTTAAGCACTTTAATGGACTATAACTGAATCCTGCTATAATACACGTCATGAACTATGCACAACGTATGTAATTTAAAAAAGTGATTATTAAAGTTTATTGTAATAAAAAACAGTAAGGAAAGTAGTAAAATCGGACTGGGCCATCTATATGATACCCTTCACCACATTGGGTATATTGTACATATCATATGTACAATATACCTAAAGTGGTAACATATGTATACAGTCGAAGTGGGATAAGCGAACACCGGTTAATCGAAAAAATCTGTTAATTGAAACAAAAAAATTTAAACTAATCTATGAATTTTCAAACACTTTACTTCGCTTAAGGTTTCTGTATAAGAGAAACCTTTTTTGTCGCAAAAAAAACACAAATTTATATGAAACGAGCACCGTTTAAGAGAAAAATATAATTTTCGTAAGGGCGATGAAATTCATTACAATTTTTATGTGCAACCCTAAAATTATGTTGCACATATTTCCAACCATCCAAGCAAACGTCTACGAAAAATGGAAGTTCTTACTCAATTCATTTCATAGTACGATTTATAAATTTCACGATTTTTTCAGATATTGATTGAAAACTTCGTTTAAGCGCAACGAGTTTCGCTTATCCGAAGTTCTTTTAATGGAAAATCCTGCTTAAGTGAAAAACATTTTTTGAAATTAGGCGTTTTCGCTTAACCGAATTCGACTGTACTTACAATTGCATGTCAATGATCCCTCCAAGGAACATATTCATACCTTTCTGAAACCTATGCTAAATTTAATTTCATTCGGGCAGATTTAGAGTCGTCTGCGTACCATGGGACATATTTATGGAAAACGATTTATAACAAAATTGATACACGCTATTCGGTGCGCCGCACTGTTCAAAATTTAATTTCAATCATACAGCCTTTCGAAACACATATGGATGCTATGGCTCAAATCAACCCAACGCAATAATGTCATTCAAGTCTCAATCGAAATCTGAATCGATTTTCCCGAAACGTACCACACAGCATTCTATACTCAATTCAGTACGATATGCCAAATTTCGTGCAAATCGAAGGATATATAGGGACTTTGGTGCACCCTTTACATAAAATCGGAAATATATATTAGTGGAGCTATATTTAAATCTGAACCGATTTTCCCGAAACTTACCACTCATCAATCCTGACTCAATTCAGTACGCTATGCCAAATTTCGTGCAAATCGAAAGATATATATGGACATTGGTGCATCATTTACCTTAAATCGGACGGAAATTTATATGGAAGCTATATCTAAATTTTAACCGATTTTCACGAAACTTAGCACACATCATTTTAGGCTTAATTCAGTACCTTGTGCCAAATTTCGTGCAAATCGAAAGATATATAGGGACTTTGGTGCCTATATCGGACGAAAATATATATGAGAGCTATATCTAAATCTGAACCGATTTTCACCATTTTCAATACGGTTCGTTCTTGAGCCAAATAAGTGACTTGTGCCATATTTCATCCAAATCGGATCATAAATGCGACCTGTACTTTGTTTACAATTTAACATCTACAGACGGACGGACGGACATGCATAAATCGACTCAGAAAGTGATTCTATGCATATTCTCGAAAGGAACCATGTGTCTATCTCGTTTCCTTTTGCATGTTACAAACATATGCACAAAGACATAATACCCTGTACCACAGTGTGGTGAAGGGTATAAACAGGGTGGACTATATGAAATTTTTTCTATGCAATGTTAGTTTTGCATGCACAGAAAATGTGGCATTTAAACGAAAATGGACTATAGTCGAAGTGGACTAAAGACCTATAATTATTATGAATTTGGAAAAAATATTGTCAGTAAATAGTACTGTTTTCGCTAACATTTATGGCCTTTTATGGTCTATGTATTAGTCGTTGACTGTGATAAATATTTATAACAACCAAACTTAATAAGGAATAAAAGTTAAAACCAGTAAGAAAATGTCAACAAATCGAACGGGACCAACTACATGACAACCTTAACCACTTTGGGTATATCAAGAGATGCTACTGTTATTGTAAGTTACAGTAAGATATATAAAAAGAGTAATATACGTCCTTCTCTAAAATTTTTTCGCATCTTCGAAGGAAATCGAGCAATATATGGAATCAGAATCAATTTCAATTGGGTTCGTCCTTGATCCAAAAAAATAGTTTTGCGGAGTGATTCTAAGTATATCCTCAAACGTACCCCGTTTATGGTATAGGGCAACGAACTGGCCATAAAACTGCACTGACTGTTCCGCATAGCGTATTGCAGTTCATTTTAATATTAAACCGTTAGTTTTCTATAATTCAGCAGCTAGACGTTGACATTTAAATAAACCTCGCTGTTATTCATGCAAAACAAAAAATCATACGATGCGACAAACTATACGATGACTTTCTTTTAAGGCAAAGTTCAAGATCAGCAAAAAATAATAAACAATAATAATAATTCAGTTATGTGAAACCTAAAATGTAAATGAAAATAATATGTCATTTGTTTGACCAATAAGTGCAGTGTAAATATTAGAATTGCAAATGTTCTAGCTTTTGCTGTTGATAGACAGCGATATTTAATGTGGGCATTAAATGAATCACCAAATAAACACATATACTACAGTCGAATTCGGATATTTGCACAACGTTTTTTAAATATTTTAATTTGCTTCAAAGAAACACCGGTTAATTAAAAATCCGTTTAAAAGAAAAACATGATTGGATTTTGGATTGCAATAACACAAATACATGTATGAAAATATTGAATCCTTTCGCACCCATTGTTGGCAGTTACAGATAAATAAGCAAAATGATTATCTTGGCCTCTTTTAAGCGAAACGAGTTCCACTTATACGAATTCCTTTTAATTAATCATAACGCATAAGAAAAAATACTGGAACTGCTCGTTTTCGCTTAACCAAATTCGACTGTATAAATAAGTTCTGAATATTCGACAACAACATATTTAATGCATAAGAAAATGTAGAAGCTTAATTTTAAATATTTTATAATCAAGGATTGACATTAATCGTACATAATTGTCGTCTGTCTTGTTATACACAAATCGTATACATATTTATTTCAAATTAGAAAATTACCCGATTACTTAAAAAAAACGTAATTTATCTAAATTTTGCCGAATCGAAATCTCTACTCACTACCAATACAATTTAGTATCAGCGATAAAGATTTTCTTCTTCACACGCACACGATTGGATTTTGTCTACCCCATATTTAGGGCTAATGCCAAAACAATCAACAACAGGTGAAGTTCAGTGTTGTTTGGGCTGACAGTCGATAAACAATCATTCCCACAATAAACTAATTTCTGACCATTGAACGTAAGTCGAAACAAGTTGCAAGCGATAATTCTAAGTAAAAGAAAAAAAAACTATTTCGAATATTAATTCGATATGCAATAAATTAAGTGGCGGGTAACAAATTAATCTGCTAATCGGTTGGCATACTAATAACTGCAAATAAATTAAAAAAAAGTAAATAAGTCTATAGTGCAAGAGCAATAAAATCGAAAATTCAAAAGTTAAAAGATATTTGGAAACATAAGAATAAAGCAATGACAATGGTAGTGAAATTCCAAAATAACAATATGTAAATTATTATTAAAATGTGTGATAGAAATCTTCAAATTATAATTACCACTAATCCACGAATGTCTGTTAAATCAAAATAATGGAAAATTAAATTTACATCCTAAAATGCAAATTACAGACAAGTCGATTGAAAAATATGCTATTCAAATAACAGAAATTGATATGTTGTTTTTTTTTTCTTTTTGCAAAATGGATTGAATATATATAAATAAAGAAATTAAAATTCGTGATTCATGTCTTTATTTTACATAAGGCTACAGGAACTAATAACCTGTTTCTCTAAGATGATCGACAAAAAAGTCAATTTTGGTTTTCCTAAACTGTTTCCAGACGGAAATTTATTCGAACGAAAGTTTAATCGAAATATCACGTAAGGGAGGCCATTTGTCTACAAATTGGATTTCACAAATAACCCTTGATCTATATTGATTTCATTACATTTAAACATAAATTTATTCTGTAAAGTCGTACAATGAATTTCTTGAAAAATTTATGACTACATGGCTTTTACATTAAAAATAGTTAAGATTAAGTTTCGTGACACTATTGGTCGGTTCCAGAACCTAGTGTCATTATATTGGAGCTATGTTCAATTATATTGCGAATATATCACATATCCTAAAACCATTTAAAATACTAACTTGTACCCACTTCGGTTGAAAGTGAGTATGAGAACTCATATTAAAACAAGTAAAACCGTCATTACCGGACCGAACAAAACTAAAAAAACAAGTGAAAACCCGATATGTTCTGCCGGGCCGAACTTTGAATACCCTCCACCATAGATATACTGACAGGTACTTGAAATGGAAATATAGGGAAAATACCAACAAGTGGACCTATATTTCTACAAACCGATTATGTAAACCATAATACAAATTTCAGAAATTTTTAATGGATAATTATACCCTCAGCCTTATGGCTAATGAGGGTGTATACACTTTGACACGGTGAAAATTTGCCTCATCGAAATGTTGGTTATAAACCCCATGTTTCTTTGGACCAAATTTGTTTCAGAAAATTTTGATTTCATCCTAACTTTGCTCATCATATTATTTCTTCCAAACTTAGTTGAAGTTCGAAGATGCGGAATATCGGTCCACACCTTCTGGTACCTCCCACACAGGGGCTAGGACTAAATGCGGGTTATAGTTCATATATAGTTCATTATCGAACCTTACGTTCTAGTTTTTTTTATATCAATATCCTCCGCAGGTGAAATGATTACAACAGAGTCTTAGAAGCAAATCCAAAACGCGGAACAATTTCGATAACTATTTCAATATAAACCAGTAAGGAAAGTAGTAAAGTTGAATGGGACCGACTATATGATGCCCTTCACCACTTTGGGTATATTCAACAGATGCATTCTAACATCACATGAAAAATATGAACCGACTAAGATTAATCCATAAAAATGGCATTCTGTAACCTATACTGAATGAGACAAAATTATGTAAATCGATTTAAAACAAATCTCAATCGGACACTCGTTGAAACCCAATAAACATGAAGTCGGTACAATATATGGGCTATGTCAGAATACTCAATTTTGTACGTTGTGCAAAATTTCGCGTCAATATGATAAAAATTATGAGTTTAGGCACCATTTAATTAAAATCGGACGGACATATATATGTAAGCTATATCTAACTCTGAACCGATTTTCACGAAACTTAACACACATTATTCGCAATTCCAAATTTCGTGCAAATCGAAAGTTATATAAAGACTTTGAAACACCATTTACATAAAATCGGGCGAACATACATATGGGAGCTGTACCGAAATCTGAACCGATTTTCCCGAAACTTGGCACACATCACTCTAGGCTTAATTTAGTACACTATGCTAAATTTCGTGCAAATCGAAAGATATGTAGGTACTTTGGTGCACCATTTACCGTAAATCGGACGATAATGTATATGGGAGCTATATCTAAATCTGAACCGATTTTTCCCAATTTCAATAGGGTTCGTCCTTGGTCCAAATAAATGGACTGTGTAAAATTTTAAAACATGGACAGACGGACGGACGGATATGCATAAATCGACTTAAGGGGACCCCCCCCCATTCTCGGGGTCAAAAATGTTGTTGATATAATTCGAATCTACACTAATTAAAGGATGTCCCTACAAAATTTCAAATGAAAATCTCAACAACTCTTTAAGATATAGCCGATTTATTGTGTCAGCATCAAGTGACGGCTGATGTGCTTCTCAAACTTTAAACGCGTTTTTCTCTAAACATTTTTTTGCGAATGGCCGGCACGATAACTCAAAAACTAATAACCCAATCGAATTTTTAGACGTTTCTCTGTGAGTGTAAAGCTATCGTATGAACTAGGATAAAGTCAATCGGTGAAGATCTTCTTTATTTTTTAACTTGGGTTTTAGTAAAAAATCGGCGATTTTCCAAAAATATTTTTTCAAAGGTCCACCATTTTGTTAATTTTAGAGCGAAGTCAATAATCCTAGTTCATACGAGAGCCAGACATGTACTCTTTCTAACACCGTTGGAATTTTCGGATTCCGATGTTCCAGTGAGGAGTTATCATGCCCGCCATCAAAAATAAGGACTTTTCTTTAATTACAAAAAACAATAACAAAAATTTGTTGTAAATTATTTTTCTTCTATTTTAAATCTTCAATTATATATGTGTAAAGTTACAAACCTTAACAAGTATTGGTTTTGATTTACCAGCCCATTGAAAATCTTGAAAAAATAAAATCGAGAATGGGTGGGGTTCCCGTAAAAAGTGATTCTATGGATATTCTCAAAAGGAACCATGTGTCTATCTCGTTTTCTTTTGTCTGTTACAAACATATACACAAAGACATAATACCCTGCACCACAATGTGGCGAAGGCTATAAAAAGGGGTTATATGGTGACTACCCAATAATTAGGCGAATATTAATAATTTTTGGCAGGGAGATTTGTTACCATATACGACTATAAAATACGAAATTGCAGCAAATTCGGTGGAAAAACGCGCTTAAGAACCCCAAAATACCGAAAATTGAAGGTACCGAAAATTGAAGGTATTACCAGAAAAAGTGGACCTACATTTATAATTTTTTGTGGAGACATTTAGTACCCAATAAGAACCCAATGTAGCAAATTTCAGCAAGAACCCCAAAATACCGAAAATTGGGGTTTCCCTTATATGGGGGGCTATCCGAAATGGACCTATATTCATAATTTTTTGTGGAGAGATTTGGTACCTATTAAGAAATCAAAATACTAAATTACAGCTAATTCGGCGGAAAAATACGATCAAAATCCCAAAAATACTGCAAATTAGGCGGTACCGTTATATGGGGGCTACCAGAAAAAGTGGACCTATGTTTATAATTTTTTGTGAAGACATTTAGTACCCAATATGAACTAAATGTAGCAAGTTTCGGTGGAAAAATGCGATCAAAACCCCCCAAAATACTGAAAATGGGGGTACCGTTATATGGGGGCTACCACAAAAAGTTGTTTAGGGATATTCTCTAATTATAGTTTATTTACAAAAAATCTTTTATACCCAAATGTCTCTTGCAGCAAATCGAAGTTCTTACGTTACCAGCGATACCATCTCACTGACAAGTTCGTTGGTACTTTACTCCGTGGTTAACCAGGCATTTGCAGACAAATACATACTTGTCCCAATCGATTTGCGACGAATGCAAATAACGTTGTTGTTGCTATTGCTAGTTAAAACAAAAAACCAAACAGTTTGACCGTGCCTGCGTCTACAACTCCAGTAGTGTTGCCAGTTTTGTTTTTTGGGGCACCATTTGTATTTTTTTATTTCAAAATAATCAGGCATAATCCCAGTTTGTTGTTTTGATAAAAACGACAATTTATTTTTGTTTACTGAAAACAGAACACATATTTTCCTTAACCAAATTTTCAAAATATTAAAGATTATTTCAAATATTTTCGTCTCTGTATATTAAATGATACACTACCTTGCTTCCACATACTAAACATGCAATAAAAAATACTACAACTATCATGAGTTAGCATCGCCTGACACTGGAAATGCTTAATCTAGTCTAATACGAATAGAGTATGCTTCTTTCTGGATGAATGAGTCACATGAGTTTTTTCTATTCTAATCGCGTGATTTGGAAAAATTAAAACAAAAAATCGGTGTCTATTATTCTAAATTGAGAACAATCTGATACGTTACGTGGGATGACTTGAAATATCTCATGCCATTCATAATCAGATTATCGCACATTAAAACAATTGTTAAGTATGCCCATTGTTGTTTGGAGCGACAATTTCAAGTAGACTAAATAAAAATATGATTTAAATTTGAATATAATACTTTGGTTTTCGCAAACTATCAGCTGTTTTCAAAACATTTGGTTATAATTCTTTTATTTAATTCAGTTTTTGATTATTTTCATATATTTTTTCGTTTCCATGACAAAAAAAAACTCCTCTTACATATTCTAGATAGCAATTTTATATTAGTTGACCTTTTAAGCCCTTATATTAAAAATTATTTCGAAAAAAGTCAAATTCCCACATAAATTACAATACCGTTTCTAAGTTTGTTTCCTAATTTAATTAAAATCTTTTAGTGTCATTTAACCTCAACCGGCATATGTAATGAATACATTTGACGACACAAATAATTTCAATTAGTCAAGCGACAAACAAATACATTTAATATGTATGTATAAAAATGTTTGAAATATTTGCATAGTCATATTACATTGTCGTCATA